AGGGACTTGAAACGGGTCATTGCAAAGTTTTCATGGAATCTGAGGATGTTGGACGCACACTCGATCTCTCGGTTATTGGCTCGTACCAAGAATTGTACCGGAAATTGGCTGAGATGTTTCATATAGAAGAGAGGTCGGATTTGTTGACTCATGTTGTGTACCGGGACGCAAATGGTGCTATCAAACGCATTGGAGACGAACCTTTCAGGTAAACATCTCAAAGAATTCTTTCAATTAACGGCTAGTTTTCGATTTTCCTCATTGATTGAAATGCCGGTTTAAAATGCAGTGATTTCATGAAATCAACGAAGCGGCTAACAATCAAGATGGATATTGGTGGCGACAACGTGAGAAAGTAAGTCTATCTCAAGCATATTTCAGCTTTGTTTATGTACCGATTGGAATACCAATTTCGGTTTGGTTTTTCCGGTTTTGCGTAGGACGTGGATAACCGGAATCAGGACTGGTGAAAATGGTATAGACGCTACAAAGACCGGTCCGCTCAGCATCTTCGCTTGAAGCATTGCAGAATAAGTGGCCTTTGTTTTGAACCTAATTTTATTTCCTGTCTTTTTTTCCTATTTTAAATCCGTTTTGTTGGTCTTTTGTGTGTAACAGACTATTTCCAAGTTTTAAGAAATTCCTCTAATTTGGTATTTGGATTTATTTGTTTGGGATGTAAGTTGTATATGATAATCCAAGAACCTACCATATCATTTTGGAATACCTAACAAAAGCTAAATTTGTTTGAAGGCTGTAGCATTCTCTTTAATGGAAATTATTTTTTTACTACTCCCTCCGTTCTTTTATAAGTGATGTTTTAGGAGAATGCACATAGATTATAAAATTATTTAATTTTTGTTTATTTCTAAAGTAAAACATCATTTATTATCTAATCAACCAATAAAAAAACAATATACAGAATATAAATTGTCAAAACCAATAAAAGATAAGTAATTTTGTATTGAAAATTGAAAACATCATCTATATATGAACAAAAACAAAAGCTTAAAACATTACTTATTATAGAACGAAGAGAGTATTAAATTGGTTTTCTGTAGCTTGTAAGCGAATTTTTCTGTAAGATAAAAGTGGAAATTATTTTGTCTTGTTAGCTAACTTTTTTTTTGTGATAGCTACTGTTAGCTAAATTATTGTTTCAAAAGCTTCCCTAAACTGTTGGTTATTTTTATATTATTGTTTTACATATTTCTTGTAAGAGAATATTCACCAAGAAATTTCACTCGGATATTTTAACGGAATTTTCCTGCAAGAAAATAAATAATATTTATTGTCCATCGGATCTACATGAATTTCATAATTTGGTCTCCTCCCTCACTCATCCATATTTAATTAGTTCAATGAATAGCAGAGGAAGATCTATTAAATAATAGGCTTAAGATACCTTCAATTGTACTTAAAGTTAGTTGCTTAGAAAATTAACCACATAATAGTTTATTCACACACACGTACGTTTATACAACTTTCTGCTGAGAACAAGAATTGAATCTTTAAAAATCGACAGAAACAGAAAATGATTATAATATCTACAATGTTTCATGGGATATGTTTTACTTCTACTAATAGATTACTTGGAATCTATTTACTACTCCCACCGTTTCAAAATATAAAATGTTTTAGCTAAATGTATGCTGATTAAGAAGATTTACTTTTAAAAAGTTCAGCCAATCATAAAAAAAATTGCATAATAAAAATAATTATAAAATACTCCCTCTGTTCCTAAAAGGTTGATGTTTTAGCTTTTGTTGTTTGTTCCACAAAGATTGATTTTCTAGCAATTTTATTTTATTTTTATTGATTTATAATAGTAAATTGTAAACTTCAAGATACAATGATTATAAATCATTAACTTTCTTAAACTACTATTGGTTGATAATTATTAAAAATATTTAAAATAAAAAACAATGTTAAAATGATCAAAAAATGATTGAGTTCTTAATATGTGTGACAACTCTAAAATATCAAACAATTAGGAACAGAGGGAGTATTAAAGTAATACGTATATAATTTGCATAGAAACTTGAAAACGACTTATATTGTAAAACAAAAAAGTTTTTCCAAAACGCCTTATATTTTGAAACGGAGGGAATAATATATATTAATCTATAAATGTAAATTGTTATGGAATCTCTTTCATAAGATCTTTAATCCTCTTCTTTTAATCGTTTATTTTACAGTTCAATTTGACAAGACAACACATAATTAGAGAAATTTGGGGAAGATAATTAGAAACAAATTAAAGAAAAGATTTGGGGATCTGAAATGAGGAAAACATGACAGCAAAAACTTGACTGTCTCGGTGAAGTTGTCGAAAAAGTCAAAGGAAAAGTCATGAGTTCGAAATTGAAAAAAAAGAACACAACATTAGCCACTGGGTCCCTCACATGACATTGTCTAGGTCCATCTCACGTGCGGTCCCATTTCTGCCGCCGTTTTGGTGCTTGTGCCCTCTTCGTCTCAAAACTAGTAATTTTTTTTCTTAATTTGTTTACTGATTCAAACTTGAAATACATAACACGGTGAAAATTTAAGGGTTAAAAATAAAACACGGTGAAAAATTAGTTCTAAGATATACTTCCTCCGTTTCATAATATAAGGCGTTTTGGACTAAATGTTTTGTTTCACAATATAAGTCGTTCTCGAGTTTCGATGCATATTATATATTATTTTAATATTTTATGATCATTTATATTATGCAGTCTCTTTTATGATGGTTGAATTTTTTAAAAGTAGATCTTCTTAATTGGTGTGCTTTTACCTAAAACGACTTATATTTTGAAACGGAGGGAATATAAGTCTACTTTAGCTTAGATGAATTACGCGGTTCGAGACTTCGAGTCTTAAAAACATATAATGGCAATGGGCAGAGACATCATAGTATTATGGGGGTCAATTGAACCCCTACAAATTTTGAAAAATCAACTATACTTTATTAAAAATAATTATAATGACCCCAATGTTTTATGGTTTTTGACCTCCATACAAAATTAATTTAACTACATAGAATATTATTTGTCCACATACATTGAAACAAAAATATTATTCTTATATAATGTATAAAATTCTTTCATTTTGTTTGATTTTATCAGGTAACTATTTCATTTTTTCATATGGGTAGATTATTTTAAACAAAATTAATAATATTGTTTTTAAATAATGTATATTATTTTATATTAATTTTTTTTTGACCCTTACAACAACAATTTCTTGCTCCGCCATTCATAAACATGAGGTTCTAAACCCAAAAAGGTATATAACTTGACACTGACGAATGATATGGATCTTTTAAAAAATATCTCACGTAAATATGATTGCTGAGAAAATTATAGGGTTAGACACAATGTTATACTTAGATTTTACAATAATTTTTATACGATCTGTATGTAGTTTTATGGCATAAAGGGCTAATTTTCTAGTATATGGTTAAAATGTTTCTTGAGCTTTTAATATACTAAGGAGACTATTTCTTCATCTCCGTTGAAAATTTCTAAACGGTAGATGCCATGATGAGAGTTTAATGTAGATTTCCATATGAGCTCGCATTCTGGCATGATGTATTGATGTCTAGTACTTCGAAATGACCAATATGGTTTCATGTTCTCAAAATGGTATCTTCAATCAATATGTGACCTTACATTTTGATCCAAAAAAGAATTTGGAATGGAAAATGGTAAGGTCTATTTTCCAAGACAGTTTTGATATCTTCCTCTGTTACATACTATTAGTCTAGAAGAGGACTTCTAATAGTCCAAGAAGAAAGGGTTAAAAGACTATATGTGTTGCGTCTTAGGGTTTGTGATATAGCCTATTAGTGTGAGAGAATGTTTCTGAAGACGCTTGGAGTTGTCAATTAGGGCTAAAAATATATACTCCCTCCGTCCCACAAAGATGAATGTTTTAGAAAAAAAATTTGTCCAATAAAGATAGAAGTTTTGGGTTTCCAATGTCAAATTTAATACAGTTTACCTATTTTACCCTCATTAAACAACAATAAATAATATATTCTTTAAAATGTATTAAATGATTAAAAGGTTAAAATTGTCATTATACATTATTTCTTAAAGAATGTGAAATTTCTAAAAAATCTATCTTTGTGGGACGGAGTGAGTATATATAACTCAAAATTTGAGTTTTCATGACCTCACATTCTTTTACTGTCCCCATTGATTTGACATATTCCTACTAGAAAAATATAAAAAGAAAACTAGAGAAAAAGTTCAAATATATACAAAAATTGAAGTTTTTCTTTTCATTTAACCGAAGTAAGATAAGAAATTAGAGAAAAATATTTATGCGATTTCCTTTATTTAATGTTATAGAAGAATTATTCGTCAATCAATATAGCCATTTATTTAATGCAGATGAACATTTTTGTCCAACTTACAGAAGTTGAGGAGAGAGAACTAATAATATAAAAATCATGGGTATATTCTTATTTTTTTGGTCAATTGTGATTTAAAATTAATATAACTCTTTATTTAATGTTATAGAAGAATTATTCGTCAAGCATGATAATTTGTCTTATAAAGAAAGAGAAAATACTGCATTTATGACTTAGATTCATTTTATGAAATCTTTATTTATGCTACATGCGTAAATAAAATAAAAATAAAATAAATTTGATATATATATATATATATATAATCATTTTTTAGTTTCCTTCAAAAGTACATTTTTCTCTTTTTAAATACCGAAATGTATTGTTTTTTTTTTCTTTTCCGATGGTATAGTAGGTACTCTATTCATATACACCTATTATATATATATATATATATATATATATATATATATATGTGTGTGTGTGTCTGTTGTTTTAATTTAATTGAAAAATATTTGTAGTGAAGGAGAAATCACGAGCGAGTTTATAGCTCAAACCTATCATATAAGAAATATTTAGGTCAAACTAGATCCTTAAATTCAGATATATAGCTTAAAATAGATATATTTGAATAAGATATTCATCTAACTGATTATAAATATCACCACATGTTGTTAAGGTTAAACAAAAAAGACAAAACAAAAACTCATTTTATTCATTATTTTTTAGTTTAAAAACAGTAAGTTCATTTATATCATCCATGATGAAGAAACCCATTCAACTCTCGTTAACTGTTATGATTATCTTCACCATTCTTGCTCTAGGTATGTATTTATATTTATTGTCATCTTAATATATTATACACAATTTTCTATAAGAAAGAATGTCATATTAACTCTTTGAAATATCAATTAAACTATGTTTTCAATAATATCGAATTCAGCCTATATATAATCCATATTTGACCTAACAAAAAAATTGAGTTAAACTATTTTGTACTAAACCTAAAAAATAGTTGTGGTGTAAATATATATGGTATTTTCAAATTATTATTATAGTTATTATGCTTTGGTAACAATCTTGTGTTGTTACAAGAATATTTAATGGATCTAAACATATACAATCTGAATGCCTATTTTGTCGGTCGCTTGGACAAAGAGTTGATGTTTTAGACATTTTATTAGTATATGCTCAAAACGTATATTTCCATTTTAAATATACAATATAATATTTTATGTTTCATACATATTATTGAACAGGAGTGGTGGCAAATGAGGGGCTAGGAAAACCAAAACAATGTCATGAGATTCTAAAGCAATCCAACTGTGTTGCTGCAGAGTGTGACTCTATGTGTGTGAAGAAGAGGGGGAAAGGAGCCGGTGTTTGCACTACTTCTAAGAAGTGTTACTGCTATTATCATTGCCCTTAATGATTTTTTATTTACAATAATAAGAGATTTATAATAAAGTAGTAAAATAATGAATTGGGGGGTTTACAGCCTAACGATTGATATAGTTGTCTCTACCAAATAATTATATAGATTAAAAATAATAATAATGACAATCATAATATTTTTATGATATGAATACTTTTGAGTGAGTAAACAACTGTTATTTTACATTTCATGTTGAAATTAGAGATGTGCTGATTTAAAACTTGTTCCATGTTATAATTTCTTATGATAATATTACAAGTCATTGTTTTATTGTTATTATAACTTGTTCAAATGGATAAATATTTTGATTTAAAAATTATGTATGCGATAATTCTACTCTTCTAATTTAGGCGAATCTCTTAACTTATCTGCTTGTGAAAAAATCTTAGAAGAGTTTGAATCTATGCATAAAGGCCCAAACAAATTAAAGTGTGTGGCCACGCTGTTAAGAGATAAGCGGAGAGAGATATGGATAACAGGATGCAAAAAACTATGGAGAGCAAAACACCCGGACCCGATACTCGAACCGATACCCGGACCGAAAAAATCAGGTTGGGACGGGTTAGGGTATTAGAAAATTACCTTATTGGGTAGAATATTGGATTATCCGTGGGTATCGGGTCGGGTCGGGTATTACCCGTTACCCATTTAGGATACCCACAAACCCGAAGCAATACACATATGTTTTATATATGTATATAGATAATTAGATATATAGTCCTATATAGTTATATACTTATATGTATGTCATACGTTTTAGGTTTTGTGACTTTTGTCGTTTGAGTTTCCTTCAGGATCTTGTTCTATGTTTTTCTTTTTCGAATAAGCGGATTTATGTGATTTTGGATTGGAATCTACTCTTAACACTTAAGAGTTAAGTAGTCATCTTTGTTATTATGGATGGGATTTAGTATTTAAATGTCATGTTTGATGTTCTATTCTCTTTATTTGATCATTTGAATATGTAAAGTGATTTTAAACTTCGGGTATTACCCAAACCGACCCGAACCCGACAATACCCGAACCGGACCGGAACCGAAACCATAGAAATACCCGAATGGACCATAAATTCATTATCCATTCAATCCGAACCCGAACGGGTTTTATCCGAACCCGAACGGGTTACCCATATGCCCAGCCCTACATATGATCCTGGTTTTTGTATCAAAAATACAACCAGAAATGTATTTTTCAAACAGTATATTCTAATTATATTAAAATATTCAAATGGTTTACTCGAGTGGTCTCTTTAGGCTATCACGAATCTCTTAGAATACGAGGTTTCTCCAAAGATGATTTCAGGTTAAAAGATTCCAATAAGATTTTAAAAGTTGTATTGCTTTTTTGTTTAAAATCTTTCATAGAACCTTTTTTGTGGATTAATATATTATATTTCACATTTCAACAAAAAAAGAGTTTATTCAATTTTTATTATTAAAGTGTTGTTTGATTATAAAAAATAGTAGTAATAGATTTGTAAACAAATTTTGGCTGTTAAGATACAATTTCTAATGAATGAAATTTATACTTTATTTTTAGTGAATTTTTTTTCGCTCATAAATCTAATTGTAATTAGTATAATATTCAACAAATTATACTTTTTAAATCTACTTAACATTTTTGAAGTACATTTTTGCTCAAAGCCAATCGGGTCGGGTTTTTTTTAAAGATTTTGACCCGATTAGATTTTTTGACCCGACTCATCCTCCAATCAAAACTCTCCAATCCTTTTAAATTCGAATTTCCAAAAAAAAATCAACTATTTCGACTAAATATTCTCTTATAACTGCCCCGCAATAATCGTTAGCCATATAGTTATGATACTTACCTTAACCATTAGCATAGATTTCGGAGTATATCCTACTAATACAACTTACCAAAAAAAAAATCCACATAAAATCTCTCATTCATTTCGATTACACTATCAAGTAGATGTCAACTGCCTCTAACAAAAAAGATATGATCCTTATTTTCTCACAGTATATGCTATAACTCCAACTTCCCAAAACAAAAAATCCACATAATATCTCTCATTCATTTCGATTACACTATCAGTTATTACTCAGACGATTTGGTATCTCAAGTATATGTCAACTGTCCCTAACCAAAAAGATATGATCCTTATTTGCTCACAGTATATGCCAATCAGAATATTTTTTCTGATATTCAAACCGTGGTAATCAAGATATGCGTGGATTCTATCACAAATCCTTAATTCCCTACCAAGTCACTATATATATTGAAACATTTCTATGCTATTCTTCACGCTTCACAATAGAAACACTAACACAGCTAAATACATACCAGATAATTGAAATGGCTGCCTCTTTTGCTTTCTTGAGAGACATCAGGCCTTACAAGACCTCCTGGCGTGTGCAAGTTAAGGTGCTTCACTCATGGCGCCAGTATACTAACCTCACAGGAGAAACGCTAGAGTTAGTAGTGGCTGATGCACAGGTAACTATATGTCTACATATATAAAACTCCTAAAACTATCATATTGATACTTACTTAAATACAGTGATAGTTAATCATATGTCTTTTCTTTTGTTAACAGGGTATGAAGATTCATGCATCTATCAAGAAGGACTTGGTTAGCAAGTATGTGAACCATCTGCCTGTTAATGAGTGGAGGTTTATTGAGACCTTTGCTCTTAATCATGCATCTGGTCAATTCCGACCAACTGGTCATCTCTATAAGATGTCCTTTGTCACTGGGACAACTGTCCTGCGATGTGATCCAGTCTCTGACTCCAGCTACCTGTCCTTGGCTACTTTCCCAAACATTCTGAATGGGGACTTAAATCCTTACATGTTGATTGGTAAGACATTTAAATATTTTAATTAAAGTTGCTATTACTATTTAGTGAATATTACTAACTAGATTGTTTGTTCTATTTAGATGTTATGGGACAGGTTGTTAACATCGGTGAGTTGGAAACTCTGGAAGCTAATAACAAGCCAACTACTAAGTTGGACTTTGAATTACGTGATGAAAAGTAAGTCTTCATAATAAAAGTAAATGGCAGTAGATACTAATGTTATTATGTTTTTATTATTACTTTAGTATAACTGATAAATGATTTGTGTTAGTGATGAGCGACTGTCCTGTACCCTGTGGGGATCATTCGCTCAGCAAGTGTTTAATGCCTGCGATGCTGCTGATGGAGCCAGAGTCATCTGTCTTATCAGATTTGCCAAGATTAAGGCATACAAAGGTTTTTACCTTTAATCTTATTCACTTATTATCTATGAACCTCTCCTATATCTACTCTACAAAGGAACTTTGTTCTAAACCTTTCTTTTCAGGAGTGAGAAGTATATCTAACTCTTTTGATGCTACTCAAGTTCTCATCAATCCACCTATCCCAGAGGTTGCAGCTTTTCTAACAGCGTAAGAGTTTTCAACAGATTAGTGTACTTAAGTTACTGAACAAAAAACTGTTCTGTTCTGATTCAAATAACTATGTTTTACAGTTTACCTGCTGACGGCCTTGCCCTTACATTCCGTGAGAGTGTGCCCAAGTTTCAAATGGTGACAGTGGCAAAGGATGATTCCTATCTGCAGTATGAGAGGAAGACAATTTCAGAGCTATTGAGTTCTATGGAGGTTATATTACTTTATCTGATTTATATCTTAAATTTAGAATTATTCCTGATATTAACTGGTGTATGTTGTCTTTGCAGATTGGTAAAGTTAGGGTTGTTTGTACAATCTATGGAATTGACACTGACTGGGCATGGTATTACTTTAGTTGCCGTAATTGCAACAAAAAGGTAACACACATACATTCTGGTATTAATTCCGGTTCATTGAAGAAGCCAAAACCTAGATTCTGGTGTGATGTCTGCAAGAATGCTGTCACAAATGTTGTTGCAAAGTATGTAAATTCTGTGTTTCCCAACTGTCTGAATTGTACAATCTGTACAGTTTGATAGTTTCCTAATTATCTATTATACCATGCAGGTACATGCTTTATGCTAAAGTGATGGACAACACAGGTGAAACAAAATGCCTTCTGTTTGATAGTATATGTGCAAACATTGTTGGTGAATCTGCAGCAACTGTGTTAGGTGGATCGTTTAATGAGGTAACTATTTGAATCAGTTGACATGAGATTAGGCTTGAACACCACCTGTTTATAATGTTTTAAAAATATTCTATTTAACACTACTAGATTGAGGATCCAGAAGACCTGCCAGATGTGGTTCAGAATTTGAAAGGGAAGACTTTCCTTTTTCTTCTCTGTGTTGAGAAAGAAAACATTTGGGATGGGAAAGATTGTTACAAAGTTTCCAGGGTGCTGTCTAAACACGGTCTCTTAGGAGATGAGGCCCCAGAAGATTCAGATCAGTTGGTCAATCCTGCATCAATTGTTTCTGGAGACCAGGTAATATTTTCTTTTATTCCCTACTAAAGTATGCATCATTATATTTCCACTCATTACTAACCAACTTACTATGAAATGCAGCCACTGTTGTTGACAATGAGTCAGGATACAGAAGACTCAGTTACTCCATCGTCTAAACGTGTTTATGCCCTAAACAGTTCTGAAACTGATCAAGCCTCAAGTTCTAAGAAGGTTTGTATTCAGCCTGTGGACTTGGTTAAGTCCTCACCAGAGTTTAGATTTGAGGTTGAGTCTGGAAAGAAGGATGATGAACATGGTGCTGGAGATGTTAAGGATGGTGTGATCAAAGGTGAAGGTGTTAAGATTGATGATGGTGTATCTGTCAATGGACAGAGGGTGGAGGTCAAGCCGGTGGAAAAGTTGATGAGTGTCAAGATCAAGAGGGAGATCAAGAAGGAAAAGAAGTGATCTCATGATCAGTGAAATGGGAGTGTCGGTTTTAGTCATGTTTTCTTATTGTTTTCCCCTTAAATCTTTCTATTTTCATTTAGTTTAAACAGTTGTTTCCCTTTAGTTATTTAAGTTTCCCAATGAACTTAGTATTTTCGTTATTTCCATTCAATAATAAGTAAACTTTTCATTTTTTATTATATGTGTCTATCTAATTCGGAAACTCTATATACAAGTAAATGCTCCATAGTATATATTGTTAAGTAAAGGATCTTACTGCCTGCAAACATAGAGTGAAATATATATGTACAGTATTTATACCTGTATATGATAATCTACTAAAAAACATATATATAAACTATAGATAATATTATTTATAATCCAAATTAAAGTAATCATTACATAGAGCTGCACAGCTGATATGAGACGTGAGCAGTTAAATCTGACTTTGAATCTCTTTACCATTTATCAAATATGCATCGAAACAAGTAACTATCCATAAATGAATAATTACAATCATTGCTATACTTTTATGATTATTATTTGATTTCCTTATCTCTAACGATTCAATTTCCTCTCTTTATTATAACTTACTTAACATATATTAAGTCGGTTATTTGATTTTCAATATCTTTTTCCATTTTTTTCGTGCCTGCTAGATCTATACACGAAATCCCTTCTATATTCTTTATATATCATGACATAACCTCTAGGTTTCCCACAGTGCACCATCTTTCTATCTTAAAACCTCTCCAAAGTTAACTCTGCAAAAATCCAATGGGTACTATTGACTACATTTCTGATCTAAACCTTCAGAGGCCTAGATGGACTTTGTACGTGAAGATTTTGTCTATCTGGAATCAAGGCATCGACGCTTTTGCAGAACCAACAAAAATGATACTCGCCGATGAAAAGGTATATTATTTTCAGAGTTATTCTTTTGCAGTCTTCTGTGGATAACTAATTTTGTATTTCTTCTTATATGTCTAGGCCAATATGATTGATGCATTTATTCCTCCTGGAAATTACTTATACAATTTTCGTCAAGGTCTCAAGGAGGGTCAGTGGTACTACATGGCTGACTTCCATGTTGTACCATCTGCTAACCCTGTTAAATACGCTTGGAATCGTTTTGCACTACAGTGTATATGGCCTACAACTATGTGGCCTGTTAGTCCTAGATCAAATAGCAATTTCTTCAACTTCATTCATTCTGATGAAGTTGAGTATGCTGGTGCTCAAGATAAAGAATATGTTACAGGTTATGCTGTAATACAGAATTCTCTTTCAGAATAACTGTAACATTGCTTCAGATTTAATTCAATAACTGTTATGTCTTCCCTATCAGATGCTATTGGTGTGATCTCTAAAGTCTCTGCTATTCAAAGATTCCCATTTGTTTGTCGTGAAGGCGAGACAGACTATGAATCTAGATATGTTCTTTTCGAAATCAAAGATGACATGTAAGTTTACTTCATCTCTATATATCAAATCAAGAACTGTTGTAATAATCATCTATTTAATTCTTTCCAAATTTAATCATTTAGGGGCAGGGTTACAAACTGTGTTGCTGTGGGTAGGTCCTGTCAGTTGCTTGTGACTAAATGGTTTAGGCACATAACTTCTGTCACTTACAATTATGACCCAGTAGTCATTGTGTTGCGTTTCTGGAGGGTTTCAGATTTCGAAGGTGAGTTTCACCCTATGTAATGTGCTATATTATTGTTCTTATTAAAAACCATACATAATTAGACTGATTATAATCAAAATGTTTTTGTTTAGGCAAGAACTGTCTAATGAGTGAGTATGGTAGTTCAAGGATTTTTCTTGATCCAACTTTCCTAGATGTTGAGATCCCGAGATACATGTAAGTATATTCATCTGGAATCAACTAAGGAATTGAATATATTGAAGTCTGAATTAATTATTGTGATTCTTTAATTTTTTCAGCCGTTGCTGGACAGATGGACAAACTGATAAGAAGGATGTGGCAATGGAGTTGGATCAATTGAACTAAATGGCAATTTGGTTTGAAGAATGTTTTTTGTTTATCTCAGTGTTGTGGAAGCTACTTTTAATTTTATCTATGGTTTTATTATGTAAACTTCCTTTTGTGTTTAGTTTCTTTTTACTTCATGTTCAATTGACTCAAAACTACTTATTTTTCATTAAGTTAATGGTTATCGACTTTTTATATTCCAACAAACAGTTAACTGTTAGTTTCTATTGTGTTTAGTAGATGTTGTGTTGATAACTAAGTGTATGGTTAATCTACTATTTATTGTTCAATTCTGTTTGTTCTATATCAAGAAGTATACAATATATGATCAACTCTACTTATCATAAAAGGAAGTATTGCTCAGTGGTAAATCGTTTTCTTTATATGATATAACTTAAGACATTTTATCATTAGTTTGGTCTAATTGTACTATCCAGAAATCTACTTTGGAGGATAGTATTTTACCTTTAACGCTATGTAGTTAATGCTGAATTTGAAGAATCCATGGCATATCTTTTTCCAATCTCCTGTTGGTACAAACAATATACAATTTCCTTAGTTATCTCGATAACACTATATATGCGGAAATTTGTTATTCAATCAGTATAATACTATCAATTCAAATATATGTGATCAAAATTAGATAACCATTAAAGATAATATATCCTGTTCCTATATATACTCCAACCGACTCTAAAGGAAATGTGAATATCATTTGTGATAGAGAATTAATAATATATATGACCATGACCATTTAAATCCTAACACCAGATTTATTTTTGCTTAGAGAGTTCTAGCAATTGTTCCAAACAGGAATAATGAGTAAAAAAACAGCACCTAACAATGAAAACATAGAGTTCTATTCCACCCCACCTAAAAGATGGCGGAGGAATGAGGCAATCAATACTAGCAGAAGTATTCCACGTTCTAATACACCTGTCTCTAATGGTTCTGTCCCTCTACGTTCTGCATTCAATACTGTTTTGCAAGATATTACTAACCTTTCATCAACTCCTGTTATACCAACTGTTATGTCTGAGGATCCACCAACGGTTAGGTCTGCACTAAAGAAGACAATAGTAAGAGGTAGGCATTAAACATTTTATGTCATTCACAAGTTTTTTTACATAACTGTACAAAGTGCAATCATTGACTTGATAGAGTAAAGTAGTACCAATTTTCTGGAATTGATACAGGTACACCCCGTGGAAGCCACTTAACTTCTGTCTCTCCCATAAGCATTTTAGCTACTTCAGTATCCACTCCATTAGGACTTAGGGATATGACCCTAGGTACTGGTCAAACTCCTCTTATGCCACCACCCTCTGAAACAAGACCAAGACAAGGTTAATTATTTGATTTTTTTAGATAAGGATACTTTGTTATTTACTTGCTATCATTTTTACAATCTATTTTCTTTCAGGGAACCAATGTTTTGGTAGTTCTTCATGTATAACTACCAAGAAACCATCGAGATTAATTTCTCAGACAACAAACTTGCCCAGAAAAAATCTTCATTCAGACTTTACAGATGCAGGATCATCTTCTTATCATAAAGGTAATATTTGTACCCTTAGTTTTCGACCGATATTCTACATTCATTAACTGAATAATGAACTTTTTTACAATTATATCTCCTATAGGACACTCTACTACAGAAACTAATGATACAGACTTCATGGAAAATAGCAGTGATGAAGAGATGTATGATGCAAATTACTCTGTGGATTTGAGTGAAGATGAAGCAGTGGTGCAAAATTATGACCATAGTAGCAGTGAGGATGAAAGTTCAGTTATACATATTCAGACAATGGACGCAGATGCAAACATTGATGTTTCATCAGAACCTATTCAGACTGTAGAATCAAGAATTGATCCCAATCAGCATCAAACACAACAAACAGATACTCAAACAAAAAAAAAAACACGTGTCAAGGCTAGAAAGAACATGAAATTAAGTATGTCTGAGTTAATTATTGTACTTTGACAAATAATATGGTTATCTAATATCTGCTAACCATATATGATTTCTTTTGTTTCCAGCTTATCTTGATCATGGAGATCCTACTTACCAGTGTAAGTATTGTGGTGCTTTAATGTGGTATGCTGAGCGTATAAACAAAAGACGTAATCAAAAGGATCCTACTTTTACACTCTGTTGTGGTCAGGGTTCTGTTAAATTACCTTTTCTTAAAGAGTCACCAGATTTAATCAAGAAACTTCTTACTGGTAATGATGCACAGAGTAGAAATTACAGAAAGCATGCCAGGATCTTTAATATGGTCTTTGCAATGACCTCACTTGGGGGAAAAGTTGATAAATCTATACCGAAAGGTCACGGACCTAGCATGTTTCGAATGCAAGGAGGTAACTATCATTTGATTGGCAGTTTAAAGCCTGCAGTTGGTGACTATGCTAAGTATTCACAGTTATATATTGTTGACACTGAAAATGAAGTAGAAAACAGAGCAACTGTTATCGGGTATTAATTTCTAAGACTTTTAACTTTTTTGTTTTTACTGCTTCTGTTGTTCTGTTATCTTTTCACTTAAAACTCTTTCATTACTTCCTGTTTTGTAGAAAGGGCAAGGAATCCAACCAAGGTGGAGGTAAACAGAATCTGAACAAGGAAACAATCGAAGCCATTATGAAGATGCTCAATCTATGCAATCCTTATGTCAAGAATTTCCGAATTGCGAAGGAAAGATTTAAAGATATTAACTGCCAGCCATTTCATATGAGGATATGCTCTGGTCGTAAGGGTGTAGATGGAAGGACTTACAGCATGCCTACTACATCAGAGGTTGCAGCTTTAATACCAGGAGATTTTACAAATGATATGCCAAATCGTGATATAGTTATTGAAGAAAGAACTACACGTCACCTCAAAAGGATTAACCAGATTCACATTTCTTATCTAGCTCTACAATATCCTCTGATTTTCTGCTATGGTGAAGATGGATATAGGCCTGGTATCGAGAAGTGTTATAAAGGGAATGTCACTAACAATAAGAAGAAGAAGTGTATTAGTATGCGTCAGTGGTTTGCTTTTCGCATTCAAGAGAGGCCTGGTGAGTGCCATACTCTGCTACTATCTAAGAGGTTGTTTCAGCAGTTTCTTTGTGACGCTTACACAACTATTGAATCTAATCGGCTATGCTACATAAGGTTCAATCAGTCTAAGCTCAGATGTGAGAACTACAGCTCCATCAAAGAAGCTGCTGACTCTGGTGTAAAAAATATGGAAGATGAAGGCAATCAAATCTTGATTCCAGCCTCATTCACTGGTGGACCTAGGTATATGGTGCAAAGTTACTATGATGCTATGGCCATATGTAAACATTACGGTTTCCCAGATTTATTCATCACATTTACATGCAACCCTAAGTGGCCTGAGATTACCAGATACGTTACAGAGAGAGGGTTAACAGCTGAAGATCGGCCAGACATTGTTGCTAGGATTTTCAAAATCAAGTTGGATTCCCTAATGAATGATCTAACAGAAAAGAAAATGCTTGGGAAGACTGTTGCCTGTAAGTTTTCTTCATTTTGATAATTCAGTGGATTAGGTGAAAGATAACATATTGAAAATGATGTGTATTTTTTTTTTTCAGCTATGTATACAGTCGAATTTCAGAAAAGAGGCCTTCCCCATGCTCACATTCTTTTATTCATGGATGCTAAAAGTAAACTTCCAACCGCTGCTGATATTGACAAGATGATTTCTGCTGAGATTCCAGATAAGGAGACAGAACCAGAGCTGTATGAGGTTATTAAAAATTCAATGATTCATGGTCCATGTGGTGCAGCAAATATGAATTCTCCGTGTATGGTCGATGGACAGTGTTCAAAACAGTATCCTAAGAAATATGAGGAAATGACAAAGGTTGGGGCTGATGGTTTTCCTGTGTATAGGAGAAGACGCTCTGATAACTATGTTGAGAAATGTGGTATTCAATGTGACAATAGGTATGTTGTCCCTTACAATAAGAAGCTATCTGTTAGATATGGTGCTCACATCAATGTTGAATGGTGTAATCAAACCGGCTCTATTAAATACTTATTCAAGTATATTAATAAAGGTCCAGATAAAATGGCATTTGTTGTTGAGCCTGATAAACCGCCAACGACAGAACAAGGTTCAAATATAGATGGAAGCTCCGTTACTCATGAATCATTACCAGAGGAGAAAAAAAAGAATGAAATAAAAGATTATTTCGATTGCAGGTAAATTGAGTAATGTGACTTCTGTTTTACTTATTTTTATTCTATAGTCATATACTTAACATCTTAAGATTAATGATAAAATGTAAAAACTGCAGATATGTTTCTGCATCAGAGGCTATTTGGAGGATATATAAGTTTCCAATCCAGCATAAATCAACACCTGTTCAGAAGCTGTCTTTCCATGTTGAAGGGAAGCAACCAGCTTATTTTAAAGGGAAGGAGGATATAACAGAAGTATTAGAAAGAATTATCAATCAGGATTCCATGTTCATGGCCTGGCTGACATTGAATAGGCTTAATGCTATTGGAAAGAATGGAAAGCGTGCTCGAGAGCTCTTATATGCAGAAATCCCTGCATATTTTACTTGGGATGGGAATAATAAGCAGTGGAACAAGAGGTCTAGAGGGTTCTCCTTGGGTCGTATTAATTATGTTCCAAGGAAGCTAGAAGATGAATACTTTCTAAGAGTCCTCCTTAACATAGTCAGGGGTCCAACATGTTTTGCTGATATAAAAACATACAAGGGTGTTGTCTATGCAACTTACAAAGAAGCATGTTTTGCTCGTGGAATCCTAGATGATGACCAGGTATACATAGACAGTTTGGTGGATGCCAGTCAGTTTTGTTTTGGTGATTGGTTGAGGAATTTTTTCGCTATGTTGCTACTGTCTACTTCTCTTTCTAGACCAGAATATGTTTGGGAACAGGTATGGCCTTTGTTAGCTGAAGATATGCAACAGAAGAAGAGGGACGAGTTCAACAATCAAGGTTAATTCAGATATTAATTACTGTGCCTAGATTTAATTACCTTTTTGATTAGTTCTATTTATATGGAAATCCGTTGATGTTAAATCAATCTTTTTGCAATATATGCAGAGCTGAATCTGTCAGAAGCAGAAATCAAAAACTACACTCTTCAAGAACTGGAGAAAATTTTGTTGTTTAATGGAGGTACTCTTACAGATATACAAAACTTTCCCCGCCCAACTAGAGAAGGTATTGATAATTCTAATCGTTTGATCGTTGATGAGATGCGCTATGACCGTCAGGATTTGACTGAAAAACATGCGGAATGGATAGAGATGTTAACACCAGAGCAGAGAGGTGTTTATGATGAAATTACTGGTGCTGTTTTCAATGAACTAGGTGGAGTTTTTTTTGTTTATGGATTTGGAGGTACAGGAAAAACGTTTATTTGGAAAACACTTTCAGCTGCTATTAGATCTAGAGGAGATATAGTTCTTAACGTGGCTTCCAGTGGAATCGCTTCATTGCTGTTGGAAGGTGGTAGGACTGCGCATTCAAGGTTTGCCATACCACTTACCCCCGATGAGTATTCAGTGTGCAAAATACCTAAGAAGTCTGACCTTGCAGATCTAATAAGGAAAGCTAAACTTATTATATGGGATGAAGCACCTATGATGAGCAAGTGGTGTTTTGAATCTCTAGACAAAAGTTTCTGTGATATAATTGGTAATATAGATAGCAAAGTGTTTGGCGGAAAGGTTGTTGTTTTTGGAGGTGATTTTAGACAAGTTCTTCCTGTAATCACTGGTGCTGGCAGAGCTGAAATTGTCATGGCAGCCCTAAATGCTTCTTATCTTTGGGATCACTGTAAGGTACTAAAGCTCACTAAGAACATGCGGCTACTAAAAAACGATTTGAGTGTAGAAGAAGCTAAAGACATTAAAGAATTCTCAGATTGGCTTTTAGCTGTTGGTGATGGTAGAATTTCAGAGCCAAATGACGGTGAGGCTCTAATTGATATACCTGAAGAACTGCTAATTACTGAAGCAGATAATCCCATTGAATCCATTACTCTAGAGATTTATGGAGATCCAGCAAAGCTAAAAGAAAAGGATGCTAAGTTCTTCCAAAAGAGAGCCATTCTAGCACCAACAAATGAAGATGTCAACACAATCAACCAGTATTTGTTGGAGAAGTTGGATGGTAAGTAAATACTTCTGATATATCTAACTTATCTCCTTTTAAGTAAATCGCAGATCTAATTTATTAAGTATCTCTGTTCTTTCCTACAGGCGATGCAATGTTATTTCTCAGTGCTGATAGTATAGATCCTGAAGACTCCGATTCACTTAGAAATTCTGTCATCACACCAGATTTTTTAAACAGTATCAGGATATCAGGTTTGCCTCACCATGCGTTAAGTTTAAAGATTGGTGCTCCAATCATGCTGCTTCGGAATATTGATCCTAAAGGAGGTCTATGCAATGGTACTAGGCTTCAAGTTACTCAGATGAGCCCGCGTGTTCTTCAAGCAAAAGTCATAACAGGAGACAGAATTGGTGATATTGTTTTGATTCCATTAATCGTCATTACACCGTCAGATACAAAACTACCTTTCCGGATGCGTAGAAGACAGTTCCCAGTTTCACTGGCTTTTGCTATGACCATTAACAAGAGTCAGGGTCAATCTCTAGAAAGAGTTGGACTCTATTTGCCTAAGCCAGTGTTTTCTCATGGCCAACTCTATGTCGCTTTATCTAGGGTTACTTCTAAAAAAGGTTTGAAAATTCTTATCCTGGACAAAGAAGGTAAGATTCAAAAGCAAACAACAAACGTTGTTTTCAAAGAGGTTTTCCAGAATATCGATTGATAATTCTGCGGCAATGATATTTCAAACAGGATTATCATAAAAGGTATGTTTACTTTACCTTGGGATCAATATGTTTGCTTTATGGTTAGCAAAACCCACACTTATTTGGACTTATATTTCACTTGCAATCTATTTACCATTTTCTAACATATTGATTATCATCAAATTGAGAGAATAAAGGTTTTAAGTCTATGATTAAGAAAGTAGGAGCTAATTGTTACGATTTGTTTTAATTCCTTAAACTCTCAGATTTTGTGTTGTTCAGTGTCAACAGTTATATATATCGAATTAACATGCATCCACAAACAACCATTAAGTAACAATTATAGAATTTCCTCTTCAATCTACTTAACATTTCATAAACTTCTATATGCAAAACGGAACTAAGTTAACTACCAATTACATCATACTGAAAACTAACCTCAATATATTGTTAGAACATATCGCAGCTTCTCTTGAGGAATGATCCCATATCTGCATATAAAATATTCACACTGTTAGAAATCAGACAAATTCATTGAAGTCTTATTCAACATTTACAGATTCAACCAAAAAACGTGATCAGTTGACACCAACAAAGTGCCAATACTAATGAAGCAAGTAAGAAGAACATAGATACCTCAGGAACAATCCTGTTCAAGAAAGTCTCAGTATCAGCCTGAACATCTGGATCATAATTCTCATTGATTGTCAAAGAAGCACTCGTGTGTTGCACTGAAACCAAAAAAAAAAACATTTACTTAATCAAGAATTCCAAAAAAAAAAAAAAAAGAGAAGAAGCAGAGTAAGAAAGAAAACTCACAGAAGACATGAGCAAGACCACAATTGAAATCTGACAAGTCTTGCCCAATTTCCTTCACTATCTGTTTTCAAAACAAAACAAAACCTCAGAAACCCAAATTGAATTCACAAACCAATCAAATAAACAGCTGAAAAAAGCTCATAAATTGAGTCAATTCAGAAATCGCTTCGAATTGAAACAAAATCATCTACACGAAAGATGAAACCTTTGGAGTAATAAGATGACATCCACGACGTAGCGGTGGAAGTGTGATGGTTTTCTGAGCCCGCGGAGAATTCAACCAAATTCATTGAAATCAGACAAATTCATTGAAGTCTTATTCAACGTTTACAGATTCAGATATGGTAGAAAACATGGCATGACAAACATTTGAATTGCAAACATCAGATTAGATCTTCAAAGATATAATTTGCTGTCTACGCACACATGTTCCAATTTACAAACTATCGAAAAACTAACAACTTTTGTTGATCGAAAAAGAAGAAATCGATGATATATGTTATAATTCTGGAATTAGAAAAACTTACATGTTTAGTTTTCGAAAAGAAATTGTCTTCTAGAACTCGATCATCCGATGCAGCTACAAATTAGATGTTAACTTGAATGATGAATTGGTTTTTAATTTCTGAAATTGGTTAGGAAATGGTGAGTTGAAGAAGCTCAATCAGTCGGTGGAGAAGATGCTCAACGACACGCAATTGTCATTTTTTTTTTCCATCCAATTGTTTTTTTTTCCTTCTCTGGAATATATTGGGCTGCACTCTATTTTCAGTAGATGGGCTTCAGTTAAAATTGTTGGGCTTCTAATGTATTTGAGATTTTGCTTTTTATTATATAGTTAATTTGTGTATTTAATATTTTAATTATGGTTTTACTATTAAAATTAGATGATATAAACTTATTTATATGATCTTATATAAAACAAAATTTAAATATTTTCATACATATATATATATATATATGTCTATATTTCCAATCTATAAAACACAAAACAATAAATTTATATAAATCTAATATTTCGAAATTATATTAAGTAAATAGTTTTAATGTGTCCTAATACTTTTAACAGAAATAACCATATTTAATTACATATTCTTTGTTTATACTGTATCAACTAAAAATATACATTACTGACGGTTGACCGAATTATACTGTTTATATAAAAGATGTTAACTTATGTACGCCATGAGGTTATTATACCTATTAATATAATAAACTTACAACTCACAAGAAATCATCACAAACGTTCTAATAAATTATCTAACAACACAAAAACATAAAAAATTATACACCACTAATACTTAATTTAATAAAAAAAAGTCAATTAATATAATATTAAACCCGCGGTATACCGCGGGTCATATCCTAGTTTATATATATGACTCTACAAGAGACTAAAAAGATAATGACAAAAAGATTGTTGAATAGGTCAAAATCAAATGGTCAAAACATACAGTAAAACCTCTATAAATTAATAATGAGGTTTTATTAATTTATTAATTTAGAGAGGTATTAATTTATCGATAAATTAATAATTATAAATTTATAGAGAGATTTTACTAATTTTGTAATATTTTTAAAAATTTCTATCTATAAATAAAAAATTTTTATATACAAGCAATATTTTTTAAAAACTAATTAAAAATAGAGAAGCAATTATTAAGTTTACAAAACAACACAAACTGTTTTCGAATTATAGATTCATATTTCATTAAAAAAATTATATATAATATTATAAATATATATCATAGTAATTCATATATGACATATATAAATTTGTATCATATATATATATATATATATATATATTGGTAAGTTTATACAATTATTAATTTATGATATAGATGAGACCATATGTTTATATAGGATTTTCAAAAAAAAATATTATCTTATTAATTTATCGATTTATGCCATATTTTACACTGATCCCAACTCGAGACCGGAAGAATTTATTAATTTAGAGAAGTTATTAATTTATAGAGTATTAATTTATAGAGGTTTTATATGGAGAGTAGAGATGAAGAAGAAATCAATTAGCGAAAAAGACAACAAATGGCTTAGTTTTTCGAAGCAAACAAAACAAGTTCCCTTATTTTGCTCTCTTATTTTTCAGTACCAATCTGATTGCCGTGGGATCTGTTTTGTTTTTACTTCAACTCGTTGGGATGATCCAAAGTTTGATTTATTTATGTAATACTTGTCGAAAAAACAAATATGTACTGATTTAGTATTATAAATTTTTTACTTAAAAATGACAGAAAACATATGAACCTTTAAGTAAGTTCAATTTAAATTTGAATTATATTTTTGAACTCACAATTTTAGGGAGAGAGTAAACAAAGTTGTTTATGTAAACGTAAACAAAAATCTTTTGTGATTTGGATATGTAGGTTTACTCTATAATTTAGTATTATCTTTTTTACTTAAAAATGACAGAAAACATATGAACCTTTAATTAAAATTTGAATTATATTTTTGAACTCACAATTTTAGGGAGAGAGTAAACAAAGTCGTTTATGTAAACATAAACAAAAACCTTTTGTGATTTGGATATGTAGGTTTACTCTATAGTTTTGATATATACCGAGATCATTTTTTATTATGAGCTTGAAAATTGTAGAGCAATACAAATATATGATGATTGTAACCGTGAAATTCTAGTTTGAACATGAAAGATTGAATGTTGTAGCTCGCTGAAGAAGATTTGTGCATATCTCCTTTCATATTTTTCTTGACTCGTAATTTAATGTTGTTTTAAAAATTTGTGGTTTTTTTGGTCTAAAGGAGGAAGACAAGAAACATTATACTCCATTCAATAATTATCGTAATTAGTCAGTATATTTTTTTAAAAAAGTAATGTTATCTTAGAGTATATACCCGAAAGGTTAGTTAGGCAGATCTGATTTTTCTTTTCTTTCACAATAAACAAATGTGAGAAGTTTGTTTAATAACTATTAGTTTATTTTGATTACTATTAGTTTATGATTTGCATATTATTGGTGTCAAAATTCTTTTCTTCCATGATCACAATTTTTAGGGTTTTTGGGGCTAAAAATAATTAATGTTTAGGGTTAAGACCCAAAATACTTATACTCTTCTTCCTTTGGTGTTTTATTAGGTCTCTTCTCACTACCGACACCCATCCCTTTATACACAGAGGTGTGCGCTTGTGGGATGCTATCTCCCAAGATATCACAGAGGTTATTGCGGTGATAATCACAGGAAATTAGCCGAGTTTTTTTTGCACCAAAACAGGCCTCATCACTGCTTTGGTGGGTTTAGTGATCTTACCGATATGGAGGCTTTATGCGTGGTTGCTATCTTCAATCAAGAAGGGGGTTTGCCTGTGGGTGTGCCTCTCCTCCATATTGAAGACATCTTCAATATTGCCCCATGGAGCACTACAAAAAATATGAACATATATAGCACATGACGATAGCACGGTTTTCGTAATTGCTATTAAAAATGGGTTTCGGAATTTGGTTACTATACCATAGCATTTCAAAAACGCTAACTATATCATAACATTTCAAAAACGCTAAGACTAATAATAGTAAAGTGGGAAGCTAAAATCACTTTGGACAACCAACACTTAACGAAAATTTTACATTTAGCGCCTAACAAAAAAAAAAAAAAAAAATCATATTACCAACCAAAATCTAAATTTTCTTATCTTTTCTCATTCTACTTCTCCGTGGATACCTCTTCGCTCTCTTCCTCTTCAAATTCTTCTTCTTCTTCATAATCTACTGATTAAATCCGCCGTGATGACCATATCTCCGACTTCTCCTCCTCCCTCAATCCCACCACCTGTTATCGCTTGCGCCTATCTCACCTCTCCAGCTTCCCCCAACCTCGATCTCTTTCCTCAAATACAAATATATCAGATCTACCCTATCATTAGATAATTGGGATGGATAAGAAGTCCTCCGTTGTATCAAGGCAGTGGTAGAGATTCTGGTAATGGTGGATGGGATAACGATGATTCGTTCAGATCTTCATCTACATATATGAGGCATGGTCGTGGTGCTCCGGCGAAGTCGGAATCGTCGGAGGATATAAATTCTCGGTCTCATATGAGTCTTCATGTAAATTTAAAATATGGGGATTATGTAAGTCTCTTTATCTCTTGCGCTTCTACACATTATTTTTATTTTCTTAAATCTGGAGATTTTCGATTTCGATGGCTTAGTTGAAAATTGTGTTACTGATTCGGCGTTTTAATCTAATCAAAATTTCGGGTTAATTTTGTTGTTGATTAGGGTTTATAAGTTTCTGGTTTGGATTTGTAAGTGAATCTTTAGTTTCATTTTTTCTTGTTTTTCTTTTGAGACTTTGTACATTGCTCTTGGTTCTTCTCCGAATTATGAGGCTCTTACACAAGCCGTTGACCACCCTCTTTTGTTTTTATAATTGATAACAGAAAGCATAAGTTCATGAGCTCCATCTTTTGTTATTAAGCCGTAATATGTTTCGGTTTGACTTGATTTTAATATACAACGATGTGTGGTGATAAGAACATAAAAGAATGTGACTTGGTGTTCTCTAATAATTGCTATAAAGTTTCTCTTATGTTAAGTAGAGTGATGTTTATGATTACCAATATATGTTGTGTTATATGTGTGTCAGGAAGCATTGGAGGAAAAAATAAAGCTATATAGGAAGAAAGTCTTTGTTTTTGGATGTACATAACGTAAGCTATTTCTCTAATCTTTTTTTTTTGTTTTGATTATTGGCAGTCACTTTCTTCGTATCGTTGGACTTAATACAACTGTAAAGCTATATTTTTAACATTAATTAAGTGGAGACTTAGCCAAGAGCTTTGCCGGTCAGAACTACTGAAACCAATGGAGAAAGAGTCAGATTTCTTACCGGCGCGTTGTCTCAGAGTTAGTGGTGTTGTTACAGTCACTGGAGTATGCCACAAGGATAAAGAAGTTGCTCAGGTAAAAAACTATGCTTCTCTGTTTATTTCTTTCATGTTCCGAATTGCTTTGATTCCGAAGGTGACCAAAATTCACAGAGGAAAAGACCTCAAGCCATAGCACATGTCTTCTAATTTTGAGTATGGAGGTACTTAAAGCACACAAGTTCAGGCATCTGCTCATAATCATGTTACATAACCTAATGCCTATTTTGATAGTTTCTTTTACTTTTTTTACTTGTTGATTCATATTAACAATTAATGAGATGGAATAATATTTCTGGATTGTTGAATTAGGCTTGGAAAATTAGGCCAGAGATTAAGTAAGATGTTGCGGGCCTTGCGGCTATGTCTGGGCTCAGGTGAGGGAAATTCTGGTCTCGTTTTAATGGGATTTAATTGACAAACGACAAACGTACATGAGTAAAAGGAGAAACCAATAGAAGATAGGCTTGTTGCAGGTGTTATAAAAGTTGTTAAGGTTCTCTGATGGCTCTTTCACCACGAGCTTCATCACAAGGTTTTGAATCTCTTTAACCATGTAAAGTGATTAGAGACTGTGATATATTTATGATTTTCTCTTTTTTTTTTTTTTTTCTAGATGTCTCTCTAAGTTTGTTATCTTTATGACGTTTGATGCAGCATTGATTTTAAGACAAGGACTATAGAGGGATTATGCACGGGAATGCTAACGGCAAGGCAAAACACATAGAGAAAACAAGATGGAAGTCTGTTTTTATGATGTTAGCTTTATTTTGTTTAAAACTTGGTATTATGTTATGAAAAAATGGATAATGTAACAAATACTGTTATGTATGTTGATGATTTATGAAATATAAAAATTATATTATAAATTTAATTAAATTTATTTTGCAAAACAGGATTCAAATATAATAATTATATATAAATCAAATAAAATTTATATTCAAATATAAAATGCTATAATATAATATAAAATAACACTAAACGTGTGCTATAATATAGTATATTAGAGCATTTTATTCCCGCTATAATTGAACGATCAATAGTAGCATGTCATAAAATGCTATCGTATGGGTGACTCCTAACATAGCTGCCGATGTCATAGCATTTGTAAATTCGCTATGTTATATGTATGATAGCATATTTTCCGCGCTAATGATGAACATATTTCTTGTAGTGGAGTCAAGAGATTTTCCAAACTCCCCCACCCTATGCATGGCTTTTCTTCCATTTCAGAATCTCTTACTAATAAAAGATGATAATTGAGGCTTCTAAGTCTAGCCACATCAGCTTAAATCAAGTTTCTTTTAAGCTTGCCACGTGTCATGGGCTAATAATGCTCTATCTTCTTTGAGAAATCGTTCTCGTGTGTGATACCAAATCTCCAATCAAAAGATGCCACATGATCACACATCATCTCCTCTCCTCGTCGCTTCGTTTTCCAAGATGCCATGTCAGCCATTTGATTTCTCCTCGGGTTTGCGACGTCACCAAGAAGCCCTACCTGGACGTTTCCCTTCCTCCGTTTAACGCTCTTGGCCAGGGCACTTGAAACGCCATCTATTTATCTTATAAAAGAGTGTTAGGTCGTCATTCTGTCTCCACTCTCGATAGATCAATAATTTTAGACGCATGGATGCTCTCCTTTTTTGGGTTTACAAATGATTAGGTATAGAAGGATGTGGAGATGGGATCATGGGACTCACGAATTGTTATTGATCTAATAATTGTTTCAGGTACTCGATTACAATTGTTCTTCCCCCTCTATTGTCTGATCTATTACAATACATTAACTTCTCACAATAGATTTATCTATTTTATGATGATATTATGTTTATAATCTTTGTTTCCCAGTTTTGAAATATGGTTTCAGTTCGGTTTATCAATCTCCGACGTAGCCAGAATCGCCAGGTAGCTTGCGCTTGGTAAACACGTGTATTAAAGTCTTGCATTTGGAGAACTTCTATAAGTCCCGGCCAAAAAAGGCTTTCAGGCCAGAGAATCATTTGACTCCCTCTTCGTCGGAGTAACGTACAAGTTCTACATAGAAACCTTATATCAACACTTGAACTTTTATTATATAATTTCCTATGACAAAGATGTGATGCATATATAAATGGTATGTACTGTTATGCAAGGAACTCCTTTTTTATAATCTCCTTCAGTTTGTTGCATGCAAAAGTATGGCAGTTTGATAAACACAAAATTTGAGAACACAATAGAATTAGAGAAAACAAAGGTGTAGAGAATCACATTTGGGGGTATGGTAAGAGGCAGTTGAGGATATAAAAGAATGTAACTAGCCGTAGACAAAAACTAAATCTCAACGAAGAGGTAAATGAATGTGAAAGAAACCTCAAATTGCTTGATAGCCAGAGAGAATCTGTAGAGATTATAAGGTCTAATTAAATTTCTACTTTTCTTTCTTTGATTTTGTTTTCACATTAATACCAAGGTTGACTCTTAAAATCTTTTGATTGTGGTAGCTTTACACATTTAAGTCATTTGCAGGTTTTGAGACAGCAATTGTAGCTTCCTACTCAGGTTCGTATAGTTAAAAAGAAAGTACCAAAAGCTTCATGATTTTTTCATTACCTACTTTTGTGATCTTATGCAATCTGTAGTATCATATTTATCTTCTTTTTTTTTTTTTTTTTTTTTTTTTTGATCAAAGTAGTATCATATTTATCTATGTTTGTCATTTGATGATCCATTGGAATTTTGTTTGGCATTCTTCTAATATTAGTCAAGTTAGCTCAAATGTTTGGCATTCTTCTAATATTAGTCAAATTAGCTCTAATGTTTGATCATAGTATTCGTTAGAATTATTATACTTTTTGTGATAGTTTGATTATTTTATTTGATCGTTTAGTTACTTGCTGCCAGATCGTGTGTATGCTGCTCTTCGATTCAAAATTAATGTTTGTTTATTAACCTCATGGTTCATTCTAAGAGTGTTAACAACCAAACAAATAATTGTGTTCTTAATAATAGATGTCTGGTTTTAGTTGTTCTGATAAATTGATCAAAGTAGTTGTATAATGTTTAACAAGCAAGCAGATGATTTATAATTGATTCAAGAAAAATCAAAAATACTATCTTAATATCTTAGTAGACCTTGACGGATTTGTGCAATGGGTTTATGACTTACTCATGGAGATGATATTTATTTATCCTTAGGAAGTAAAAAGTCAGAAAAAGAACAATATAAATGGAGGGTGTTGCAGGACGTACATACGAAGTGGCACATATTAATAAAATTTGGTTAGGTAGAGGAATTCTTTTGAGAAGAACTTATGAGTTATGATTAACTTTAATTGGCTCATAAACTAATTATTTTGCTTATTCATGAGACGCCTAAAAACAATATCGCTACAAGAACAAGATATATCAGAATAAAAGGCAAGAAGGTTACTAAAATAGAACAATCAAGTATAAAAGATTTATGAGAATTTTAATTATGTATGAATACATAAAAACATCTAATTTAAAACAATATTTTCATATATTTATAATCACATACGAACAAATTGATAACACATAAGTTGATTTTTGATAATTCAAAACTCCAAATATATTAGTTGTCAAATATATACCGGGCGTAGCCCGGATTATCTCCTAGTTAATATAATTAGGATATATTTTTGTTAAACTACTGTTATCTTAAGAGTATATACCCGAAAGGTTAGTTAGGCAGATCTGATTTTTCTATTCTTTTACAATAAACAAATGTGAGAAGTTTGTTTAAAAACTAGCTACATGCTTCACACACATTAAAATCATGATTAATGATTCATTAATTTGGTTAAGGTCCCGATAGATCAGATGGTCCGGAATAATTAAATTAGACATTGAAAACTAAAACAATTGAATGAGTCAAAATTGTAGACACATAGGTTAGTGAACTCAGCAAACGCTGTTAATGACAATGTTAATTAAATACTTAATTAACCAAAGTGTAGACAGAAAGAAAGCACTTGCACAAGATCCAAGACCATATTAATATACAAGGAAAAAAAAAACATTTTGAGTCTTTGTCAATAACATCAAATTCACCAACCATATAAATTAATTAACATAGATGATTCGGTTGGTGTCATCATCCATTTTGCGACATTTCTATTTTCATATTGTTAATAATTACACGCTAATATGTTGATACACTTATTGCAAATAGCCAAATACTAATGTTTCTCTTTTTGTCAACATGCAACAGTTTTATTGTTTCATTGTCTATAAACAAAAACTTCAATAACTAAGATAAAACTAAAAGAATTAACAAAAAAAAAAAAAAGATGAAATTAAGAGAATATAGGAAATCGGGTAGGTCCATTATTTTTTTCAAAACAAATATTTAGAATAATCAAGAACATATGGTTCAGTGGTTTATTCAATCGGGTAAAAAATGTGTCATGTTGATCAAAGTTAAATGATGAGTTTTACCAATTAGGATTTTTTTTTTTGGTTAATATGTATTTCATTTTAAATGGTGCTTACGGTTGTGCATAAATTAAAAATAATAGAAATCTCATTTAATTTAAATTTTTATAAAAAAATTATGAACTAAAACTAATAAACCAATAAAAATAATGTTGTATAATATAAATTATCAAAAAATTTAAATATACAAAATTTTGAAAACATTACTTAAATTAAAATTTAAAAAATCGTAAAATATCATTTTATGTAAAATAGAGGAAATATTTACGAAATGAAATGGAAGAAAAAAAATACGAGTGATTCTAATATAATTAGGGAATTAGTTGGTTCATAAGATTTCAAAAATTTGTTAAAGAAAAAAAAAAGAGGCAAAAGAAAGAGACAGAGATCTTTGATAACGTTGCACACACGTCGCGTTCGTGCGGTAGGACCCACACGTGTGTTGTTTTGTTCGGAGCGGTCTTGTTAAGTTGACAAGGCAGTTACGTGTTAAGCGTGAATGTCTCCCATGTTTTGCCACGTGTATGGTCGATTCTACATCTGACCGTGTGAATCGATCGGTCTAGATTCCTCCATTTATCTCTTTGATCCACTTTTACCGGTTTGTCAAAAGATTTAGCGGACAAGCTAGTTCTGTTTGGTCTGTTTGGTCAACGATATTTTCCCAACTTTAATTTCTCGGTTTTAGATTCTCTCAAAATCAAAAATATCGTATCGTATGTTTTCTTTAATCTTATAGTAGTAATAATACAAGGGAACTGACTAAAAACTCTATATTAGTAATAACGTCATATTCCATTAGTAACATTTGTACAACTCATGAAAAAAATTAGGGAAATTGTTAAAAATATCCTTTTGGTGTGTCTCTTTTCAAAAATATTTCTTTTAGATGTCCATTTTAAAAAATGCCCCTTTTTAAATCTGAAATTTTTATAAAGTTTTATTAGGTTTATAAGATACTTATGGATTGCAACTACTACTTGAAGACTCGATCCAAGTATTTATAAGGTTTTATAAGGTGTTTTTAAAGGTTTTACAAGTTATTTTAAAGGATTTTTAAAGTTTTTCAAAGGTTTTACAAGATATTTTAAAGGTTTTAAAAGATATTTAAAATGCATTTATAAGGTATTTATAAAGTATTTATAAGATTTTAGATATATAGAAATGTAGTTTGTGTATGTTTTAATAATATTACATACATATTTGGGTAAGTTTTATATTTCTAAGAGCATTTTTTATAAGGTTTTTAAAAAGGGGTATTTTTGAAAAGCGGCATTGAAAAAGTGACATTTTTGCAAAAGCCCCAAAAAATTATTATTCAAAAATACTTTATTTGATCTGACAAATTCTGCTAGTATGGAAGATTAAATGAAGTTTTGATTTTTTAGAAACCAAGAACTAATAAACCTAAGCAGTGTTAATTTATTTATCGAAAAAAACAACAACAAAAAAAAAACAAAAAAAAACTACATACATTCAATGTTAATTTTTTTGATGGATTTCTAAAGAGTGGACAAAATTATTTTGTCGAAAACAAAACCTAAACTATACTCCCTCTGTTTCACAAAGAGTGTCATTTTAGAGTTTTACACACAGATTAAGAAAATATTAAATTTTTTATTTTTTCTAAACAAAAACATCATTAACTATATACCTAAATATAATCTGCCCAATAGTAAAACAATATGCATAATACTAATAGTCATAAAACATAAAAAATCATTAAATTTTGCATTGAAAACCTAAAATGACACTCTTTGTGAAACAAAAATAAAACCTTAAAACGACACTCTTTATGTAACGGAGGGAGTACCATACAAAGTATTTATGACGAAAATTGCTGAGCTAAAAAGAATTCTTCTGAGTGGGAATAAAACTAGTCATGACTTGCAAAATGATGTGAAATAACAACTAACAAGGTCATTAAACGAGTGTATCAACTATTTACAATTACTATAAATCTATATATATATATATATATATATATTTTTGGAAATATTTATGAAATAAATCCTGGAGTTCCAACTTATTTACGATCAAAAACTATTGACATTAATTATTTAGATTTTCAAAATTAAATCAAAAATATTAACATAAAAAAATCATTTCCAAAAATCTTAACCTAATATATTAAGCATAGTTAATCTTTGCCACAATTACATCCATATTCAATTCGATTTCCTTAAAAGATCTAAAAAATCCCTACATTTAATCGTGGGCATTCAAATCTTAATCCGATTTTTAATCTTCATACGCAATTAATTCAAAAATCATTATATAGAATTAATTATTATTAACTAAAATTTAAAAATATATATAAAATCAAACTTTTAAATTGACTCAAATTATATGTATATTAAACAAACTATTATTAAAAATAACAAAATGATGTTTAATTTCATGGGACAGGGTTATATAGTGGGACGGATTTGGATCGATATTAATACGGGACGGTATTAATATCACAGATGAAATCTTAAAATTAACAATCAAAATACAATTATACAATTTTAAACACTTAATAAAATAAACAATATTAAAAATACAATTTAAAATTTAATTTTTTAGCTAAAAAATCGATTCGCCGTGTACCGCAGGGTAAAATCTAATATATCAATAAAAAGGAAAGACCAAAGTGGGTTATTTTCTTCTTTTCTGCCGAGCAAATTATGATTAGTATTGAATTTGTTGGTGTGTCGCTCTTTGGAATCTTCGTATTATAAAGTTAAATCAGGACTAGT